ATGCGCGCACACACAGTGCAAAAGTTTTTCAATTTTCCATAGCTTCTGCCGCTGTCTGCTGTCTGCCTGGCTCTCACATACACATATACATATACATATAAATAAAATGACGCTGGGGACGGCGTGTAATTATCATAAAGCGGAATCTTGTAGCGCCAATATGAAGCTCATAACTTTGTATGGGTGACTAGACTGGGGGTATGTACTACGAACAGTGGACACCACTGGTCACCTCCTGCTGCCTAATGCCCATTTCGGTCATCCGCGTCACCAGCCCAAACGATGTAACTTTCAATTTGCGTAATTTTCAAGTGAGCACTGGCAGAAAAAAAAAAGCTGATCCCTCACCTGAACCCAACGACTGTTGCCGTGCGATGCCATGAGAAATCATTGGTGGGTGGCACGAGAGAGAGAGAGAGACGCGGTGGCCCAGCAGCTAGCTGGCTGTGAGGCGTGGCTAACTGCTGCGTTAAGGTGCACGCTTGTCATAAAATGCCGCTTATTATGCTGGCTATTAATTTTTAGTGCTTAGACGCAACTGCCTGGACCTGGACGTGGACCGGGACCGGAACGTGGATGTGGATGTGGATGTGGACACGGCCTGGCTGCTGGCCTGAGACCTGAACGTGCCCCCAGTTAGACTGCTCCAATGCTAGCCCCATCATAGTTACCAAAACTTGTTGTTGTTGTTGTTGCTGTTGCTGTTGGCCCAGGCAATTTATGACATACATGCGGAATGGACAACGCCATCTCCATCCCTATCCGCATCGCCATCCTCATCGCCTCATCGCTATCGTTGTGCCTGGGCACATTTTGGCGGCATATCGCGCCGCTTCTATCGCAGCTGTACAAATTTATTTTGCGTTTGCATGCACTGCACTCCAATTGGGCCTAATCACTATGTAATGAAGCTTGCAGAGCCAGCTTGCGAAGATTTTATTTGCGCACACAAATGAGCTGCAATGACTTAAGTCAACTTAAGAGCTTAGTTTAATGGACTCAACTAACTTTCGAGCATATATTTAAGAGCTACTTATGAAATTTTGGTTTTAAAATGAGGTATAGTTGGTATTGTAAAGAGTCTAGATCATGGCGAGAGTCTTAAATCGGTATGTGATCGGGAGATAAATGAATAAGAATCATATGCGATAGATAAAAAGAGATCAGAAAATTATTGCTGAGATAAGAACTGAAGTTAACAATTGCCTAGATGGTTCGAAAAAACGATTAATGTCTTGTTATATGATTTCGATATATATCGAAAAAGGTTTAGATATATAGAAAATGATAAAAAACGAAAATAATTAGATGCATAGATAGTTCAAGAAAATAAACAATATATACATATATAATATATAAGAAATATGTTCAATATATGTATACTTCATCTTGAATGTCATTCATTTTGATATTTGTCTGGTATCATTAAAGTTATTAAACTCTCAGACTAAGTCGGAATTTAATATATTTCCTAACATAACTTTTCTTCCCTTTTTCCATTTCTCATTTCAAGCTAAGCCACAGCACAGTCTATAAGCTGAACTTATAGAGTATCTGGATATCGTGCATATGCGAGCATATGTTTATTTATTAAAACTAAGCATCTGCTAGCGTATTGGGGCACAAGAAGCGAGCATGTCGAGAAGTTACCCATCATTAGTACTAACAAGCGACATTACGCGGCAGCGCTTGCTATTGGGTCTCTCTGCCTCCCTCCCTCCCTATCGCTCTCTCTGTCTCCCTCTCTCACTGCTAGTCTGAAATCTTTGTTGGGGTCTCAGCTTCTTGGCTGATTACATTGGCCAGATAGTTGCGAGCACGCGTACTTGATATGGCTTTGTCCCATTACACTGCGCTCTCTCTCCCCCTATGCCCCTTTCACTATCTCACTCGCCTCGTATGTTTATTTAAGGAATTTTTATTACCACATATGTGTGCATGTGTGTGTGGGTGAGTGTGTGTGAGTGTGAGTGAGGCCAGAGTTTGAGTTTGAGTTTTTGTTGTGGGCACACTTATCGCATTTTTAGATTTTTCATGGGTTTATTAAATTGTTTTATGTGCACTCCCCCAGCTGGTTAAATGTCATAATGTGAGTTCTGAATTCTTGAAATTGGTCTCGAATTTGATTGCAATGCGGCGGCATTATTAGGCTAATGATGGCATTGACTACAGACAACATTTCGTGTATGTGCATAGTTAGAGATATGGTTATTAGATTAAAGTATTATGTGAAACTTAAGTGCGGATTACAAGCCGAGATATATGATTATTGGAATGTGCAGAAATTGTTTAGCTTATGTTCAAATCACTAGCCAAGAGATATGATTATTAGATTATTATCCCATACTGACTGTTGGGTGATAGATATGATTATTAAATTATGGAAATATGTGTAGTAATTATGTATTTCCGAAGTACTTAAACCTTGTGTTGTCATAGAAGAATTCTTTCAGTCGTGAGTATTTATTATAATAGCAACATAAAACATACCTGAAAAGAAAAGAAAAACCTTTTTATTAGATACCGAAATTGGAATAAATAGATAGATGATAATTGTATTTTAGAAGAGACATAAAACTAGCTAAGCATAGCAATCAAATGACTTTCAAACAGTTGTTAAAACCATCGATGGCGCCACCGTTAGTATTACGATAGGTCGATGGATTTTATTTGCTGGGGTTTTATCGTCTTATTTAATGGATGCTCTGGTACTGTTGTGTAGATTTTCTGATGGTATTTGTCTTCTTGCTTAAATTTATTACAGATTCGTGATACGGAAACAAAGGCTGGCTAGCAAGGGAAGGAGCAACGTTAAGAAAATGAAATTAGTTGACTCCAAATTGAATTGGATTCTGTATTATAGTAGAAATTTATCGATTTTTTGAATTTCTATTTATATAATCTTCATTTTTAGGAAATTAAGTTTCTATTTTGTTCTACATTACTTATTTAATTTTAAAAGTTTTCCCCAAAGAGCTGTTAAATCGAACAGTGCGCCCTTAAATACTCTCTATCGATAGTTTTGCAGATCCATAATACTCCTCACTTCACTCCTCACTTTATTAATCTATAGCTTTAAAATTTTATATTTATGTTTATTTATTTATTAGCTATTTTATGTTTATTTATCTTCCTTGAAAAAAACGTAACTCAAATCATTATTGATTGTAAATCATGATAACTTAAAGCAGTCTTATCTCTTTCTCATTTTTATGGCGCTGCCAACTTGTGCCACAACAAGCTTAAAACACATAAGATATGGTCAACTTGTTTACCATGGCTTACGATAAAAGAGTCAGACTTGAAAGCTTTACGCAATCAATACATCAATACATCAACAATTTCCTACTTAATCAACAAAAAAACAAAACTTATTGCCTGTTCATTTATGGATTTCTATTTATAAACAAACAGGCAAAGTATTTTTTACTGTTGACTTGCCGTATAATTAAATACAAATAACAATTAAGATATATAGCAAAAGCTCGTTTGCTTTTTGGACAGCGACAGGGGGATTCAAACTCCATTAGTGGGCATATCAAATAATTGAAGTTTTTTTTTTTTTTAAATTAAGAGCGACCAAAATACGATGACAATTATGAATTGAGACGTTAATTGTCTATAAAGAGAGACACAGATAGAGTGTGTGTGTGTGTGACTAGATCCATTTTAAGAGCCTTCAATTTGAAGCCTGTCGCATGATATTGTCAAAGAAAAATTGCAAGCCCAGCCTAGTCTGGTGGGTTGGTCAAAAATAATTTTCATATTTAATTGACAGTCAGACAGATTGAGAAATGCTACCGATTCCATTAGCGCGGCCTGTCATCGAGAGTTTCCATATAAACCATACTACAATATATTTTTGTTTTTCTCCACTTATTTCGGTTTTCGTCTGTCAATAAAGTTGAACGCCTGCTGCTGCCTCCGGGGCGTATGAATATTTCATTTTTATTTAACAGCAACATGTTTTACAACATTATTAGACAACGTCAGAGGCGAGCGAGCGAGCGAGCGAACGAGCGACTAGACACTCGAGCTGGCCAATTTTAATTACCAATATTTCCAGGTGTCGAATCAACGTCCCACGCCTCTATGGCCAACACTTTGCATTTTATGACAGTTGCCCTGCTTTACTATTTGTATTTGTATTTTTTTTTTCGCATAAAAACTAGTTAATTACACATTTGTTGCTTGCAGCTAATTAGCAATTTGTGACAAACAGTTCTAATGGCTTGTAATTGGCCAGTATTTGTATGGCTCATTGATATGTAATTTCATTTATATTTATGCGCTTAGTGCACGATTAGCTCATGGGGGCTCACACGTGGTCCACCCTAATTGAATTGTCACTGCGACTAATGCGATGCTTTCAGGCGGGGTTAGCCTGGGTTATGCTCATTGTTCTTCATTATTGAGCTTAATTATTTAACTAATATTACACGCACACAGAGAAACATATATGTATATATATTTGTATATACATACATACATATATTAGCCACCTTCCTTAATTGCTAGTGCTTTTACTCGTTAACGAATGATAAGATATCATGTGTCTTTCTTCAATGCGTCATTTTGCAAAAGTTTCTGCGCTCTTTTATAATTTCGCAATAGTTGAAATTATATACAATATTAAGTATTTTAAGCAGTATTAAAAAGCTAGGTAATCTAGCCATCTAGCCTTTTTATTGAATATTTTTTTTGACGTATTTTTCTTATCATTTTCTTATCAGTTATTTAATATTCACTTTTCAAAAAATATATTTAAAGGTATTTATATTATTTTTATTTATTTATTTGCCGTTTTATTTTCAACATAAGAATTACTTTATGTTCTTTATTTATTTTATTTTATTTGATTTTTTATGTATTTATAATATTTTTATTTATATTTATATTTTTTAATATCAGAACTAAATTCCTGTATTTTTTTTTTCAACAACAAATAATAGAATAGTTACACATTTCATGTTTTTATATAAATATATTTTTTATGTACATATACATATATATATTTTTTTTAATAAATAAAATTCGTGCTTGCATATAAAATACTATGTAAATTCACTTCACAGGCAGTTCACAGTGAATATATTGTAGATATATCTTTGGCTCATTGCTCGCCCTTCCAACGCTTAGCAGTGATGATGTGGGGGTCCGTGATGATGATGATACTCAACGTGGCCATGGTGATGATCATAGTGGCCATGATGATGGTCATAGTGGCCATGATGCGGTGGGCCATGATGATGATGGTGGTGATGATGATCGTAGAACGGGGGCGGCGGTGGTCCGTGATGATGATGGTGGTGGTGCGGCGGCGGTGGCCCATGGTGTCCATGGTGATGATGATGGTGTCCCAAGTGCAGGCCCAAGTGGATGCCAAAGAGACGATCGTCGTGGTGTGGTGGCGGCATTGTTTTCACTCTTAATTTCTTTGCAATTCCTTAGCTGTTAACTGAAGCTCTTAATTCCACGAGCTAAACAATCGTACTGTGCCCACTCCTACCGGCAATTGTCAATATATACCTCGCTGCCTATCTGATAACGTTTGCAGGTGATGTACATGAATTGTTGGTTATCTTATCTCCCGGCCATTTCGTCTATTGTGAATCAATGTGAGTCATTGAGTTGTAAAAGTAATAACACATTTCTCATCGTCTTTGGGGTTGAGCTAATCTGTGTTCCAGGTGAGTAAGTTCGCTCCGGTTAGGGTACTTCCCTCTCGCCAGTGAATAGCCATTTGCGAGAGACACACAAAAAATAAAATAAAACGTAGCCAACTAATCGCGGCAAATAAATATATAAATAAATAAATCTGTTTACGCTTTTTCCGCAAGGCAGAAGCGAGAAAAACGAATCAAGCTTCAGACAAAACTTACGGAAAATGCGGAAGCAGCGAAAAGAGAGCAAAAATGGAAAACATGCCACAAAGTGTTGCAACTTTTTGTATGGCGGCGTCGAAAACTTTTTGGCATCTGCTAAAGGAGTAAAGAAAAAGTGAGGGAGAGAGTCGGGAGCGTGAACGACTCAGAAATACCCTGACTTTCGTTAGCGGAATTCATCGACTTTATTATCATTTTCGTTATTGTGTTCTGCATCATTATCTCTTACATAATCATCCATAGAAACAATATCAGCATCATTATCAGGTTTATAGTTTATTTCGTTATCTGTCGCATTGTCATAATCCTTATGATTATTATCATGAGGTTTGATAGCTTATCAATCATTGCCATGATCATCACATATCATTATTATTATTGTATTTACTCTCATCAGTGTCATTAAAATTGTTATAATAATCATTATATATATATTAGATACACATTTATCTATCAATCAACTCAATATCAGTATTTATAAAATACTTCATAAAGAGTGATTTTTTCTCATTTTTATAAACATTTACAAAAACCATTATGCTCTATTTATGCATTTTCAATGGGCTCAGGGTATAGTAGAAAAAATGGAGTATAAAAACTAAATGCAAGAAGTCTCCGGCAATAATTTCCGCCTGCATTGCTGGGTCTGGACAAAGGGAATGCCAGCCGGACTGGAAATGCTGTAAATACCGAAAGGCCAACGCAAAAAGTGCGAAATAAGAGGAATACAAAGCACACGATTCACAGACCAGGCAGATGCAGGCAGGCAGGAGGAAAGAGTGAACACTTTGTATGGAGATTTAGCAGCTGGCAGGAGGGCTGGTGGGCTGGAGCAGTTGGGGCGGAGGAGGCGTGATAAAGTGAGGACGTTGTCATATCAAGTGCTTAGTGCGTGCGAGCGACGTTCTCATAGACTTAACAATAACTTTTCCTGGCTGAACCCTTCGTGGCGGCCGGAGAGCGGGCGGGCGGGCGTGCGAGAGCAACGGCGCAGATAAACTGCGTTAGAAGTTATAAAGCGATTAGACTGCGCGACGGGCTGGCAACTCCATTGGGAGGGCTGCAACGTGTGCCAAGGACAAGTGCGAGCAAAAGCTGCAAAAAAAAAAACAGAGTGGCAAACTTTTTGCTGTATCAATTTAATGCCTATTTAAAGTGTGAGTCGAACCCAACGGGAGCGATAATATCTGAGACACCCGGGGGAAATGGGAAATAGATGTCGCGCAATGCAGGTAATGCATAAATTTGATTTTATGGCAAGTACTCGACAAACTTTCTTCTTTACCCAAAGCCAAGGTGGCTTATTAGCTGGCAAAGCGAAGAAAATTCAATTGGAAATTGAGTTTTCAGAAGAGTTAAAGTTCGACTTAAAGACAGTGAGTAGTAGAAAGCAGAAATATATGTATGAGACAAGGTGGAATATTTGAAAAGAAATGAAAGAACTATGAAAATATTAAATAGTAAATAATAAATATGTAAATAATAAATAATAAATAAATAGTAAAAAATAAAAAATAACAAATAATAAATAATAAATAATAAATAATAAATAATAAATAATAAATAA